AAGAGCACCCAGTTTGGGGCCTTTTCCCCTTGGAAGATGGGCTCTGCTCCCCCAGGAGAGATCACGGAGGGTGTCCCCTCCCCACACCCAGGAGCCAGGCAGGGCTCATGCACCCAAGTCCCCTCCAGCTGTCCCTACCAGGAGAGCTGTGACACCAGCAATGCCACTAAGCACGCACAGAGGGACACCAGCACTCACCTTTGATGGTGGTCTGCCCACGTTTCAAGCTCTGTGGGGAACCAGCCCTGCAAACCGCCGAGTTCTGCTGAGACCCCTCGGGGAAAACCCTGCCAAGATGGTCCTTGGGGACCGAGGAGCTCCTGCTCCCGCTGCTGGTGGCCTTGACCAGGCTGTGGACCTCCTGGGGTGGCTGCTCGGCCAGGAAGACCCTCTCCCACTTGTAGTGTCCTTCCAAGGGAGTCTCCGTCTCAAAGTCGAAGTTCCAGCGCTGCTGAGCTTCTTCCAGTTGTTGTCTCAACAGATCCTCTAAGTCGTTCTGGAGCTGCTGGTGGTCCACGGGGCCAAAGAGGTTCCTGCACACCTTGCTGCTGCCCGGCGTCTGCCCGGCCCTGCTCTGGGACAGGGGCATGGTGGAGCTGGGAGGGAAGCAGAGCCAGTTACAGGGTGTTGGGGAAGCCATGAGCAAGCCCAAGGGCCAGCACATGTGCTACCGGAGCAAAGCCCATGGTAGCCAAGGTGGGACGAGATGGGCTGGAGGGACCTCCATCTGCCAGAACTCATCTTGCACCATATTTGGGGTCTCAGTGGTGTCTTGGGCAGAGGCTGGAGCATGGCTGAGGTCAAACGCAGCCGGTGTGATGCAGAAGGACGGGGAAGGTGCAAGCGTTGGTGTTCCCCATCCTCCTCCAGCGGGTAAAGCCCCACTGGGGCAGAGCACCCGGCACCTCCACGCTGCCAGCGGCTCCATCCCCAGCCCCGCTGCGTTCCCACTTCCACGCAGGCACGAGGCAAGGTGGCACGTGGGCAAGTGAAGCAACAGGACGTTTTTCTGGCCAATTTCTCCATCTCAAGAACCCAGGCCTTTGAAGCAACTGCAAAAACACGCCACAAGCTCGACCACTCTGTTAACCACCCTGCAAGGAGCTGTTGGGTAACCAGACACAAGACCCCGTTGGTTTGGTTTGTTGGGTTATTTTTTTTTTCCCCCCTCAAATCGGTGCCAGAAGCCTTGACCTTCGCAGTCAGTGGCCAAGCCTTTCCTTCGAGCCGTCCTCCCCCTTACATGCGCGTGGGGCTAACGGGTCCCCCCCACCGAGGAGCCTCATTAGTGGAGCAAAGCCAACAACGCTCGGGGGTTCGACGGCTTTGGGAGCTCAGGCTTGGACAGCCGTGCTCATCAGATCTGCTTTTAAAAAAAAAAAAAATCCCAGAAATAAAATCCCTGCGTGCAAGACAGCTTCCTCACTGCCCAGCCCACCTCGGCCCCCCAAAGCCAGGGCCACAGCAGACCCCCAGCCTTGCACCCCCCACCCATGGGGTGTTCAGCCTCCCCCAGGGAAGATTTTTGCCCAAACCCAGCACCCCAATCCCCCCGGATCGCCTGTGCGGCGTTACCAGCCATGCCACCAGCACGGCGTGT